GTACAAGGTTCGATTGTATCAATCATGGCCTTAATATCATGCTGAATGACTGAGTTCTTAACATTTTTTTGGGTTGCTTTTTGGATCACCCTGTATATCCAATGACTGCCACTCACCATTTCCGCTTATATACATATATTTATCCCATACTTGGACGTGTTACGAGTACATAAAGCCGGTTTGTAAAAACTTATATTTTCATCAGCGGGCAAATATAGCTTTACGTCCCGCTCCGAGATCAATATTATTAGCAAGTTGAAAAAATATGAAAAAGATCAAGTACATATTCTGTGAGAACTGAGAAATTCAAAATAGCATGTCAGAAATTCCCATACCAGAGCTCTGATATGAGACCTCTATTGTGTTTGTACCAGCTATCATCTTCCAACACTCTCTTCATCGCGTTCAATGGGAGCAGGGTGAAGTCCGATTGATTCTTTTCATTCATCCCAAATATCCAAAATCCAATTCGTTCTCAAATTCATCAGAGTTTTTTTTCTCAATATTATGTACAGTATATAAAATGTTGATTTACTTTGAGTTACAAATTATTTTTTATTATTATTATTTATTGCTCTCACTATTTACAACAGTGGCACATGAAGAGTATCAGTGCGGCAGAATGACATATCATTAAAATACAATATATTACAGCATTAAAAACATTAAAATATACTGGACAATAAATACCAGCTATACAATATTATACATAATAGACTTTTATCTTCATAGTCATTTCAGAAAGTGAAAGTGAGTAAAATCAATGTTTTAATATCTCTTTATTGATATCTTTATCTTTATTGGTGTCTTGTGACCAAGCTTAAACTCATGTAGCGAATAATTGAAAATATCTTTATTGAGTCTTCAAGGAACTTTTTAAATAAATAAAATAATCAATCTGGCGTTTATGTAAAATATCACAGATGGGTCTCCACCCAAGGTCACCAAGGAGGGATTCTCTTGCAGGGTTGCACCTGAGTTGCATTAAGGCCTTAGCCATTTTGTATTGCATCGTGCTAAGATATTTTCGGTGGTCTTATTCAGTAACATTACTCCACAACCATGGAGAATTGCAGGCAAAAACATTCCGTTATACATTGTATTGCCAAAATCAATTCTTTTCATATTACAATGCTTTGTCAGTGTAGAGCAAATCATAATTTGAATTCTTCTTGACTTCGTTTTAAAATATCATTAATGTGGTAAGTATCCTTCAAAGAACGGTCAAAATAGATACCCAAATACTTGTAGACTTTTACTTCTGTCAATTCATGTTCCCCTAATATCCATTTTTCTCATAATTGATTCTTTGCCCTATAACCATTACTTTCGATTTTTTCGAATTAAATTTAAAACCCCATTCAACTGCAAAAATGTCAGTTACTTTTAAAAGTTTATTCAGCTGCTGCTCAGACTCGCCCATAAAGAACGATATCATCGACGAAGAATAAAGGTGGAATTTTTTTACCTTTAAAGTCAAAGCCAATGTTTTCCTTTTCAAGTGAGCTTAATAAGTCGGTCATTATAATAGTAAATAATGTTGGGGAAAGGCAACAACCTTGTTTTAAACCTGTTTCTGAGTCATACCAGGGAGTTGAAAAATTTCCGAAAACCACCTTATTAGATATACCTTCATATGTTTTCCTCAAGAGTCTCCAAAATTTACTCTGTATCCATTTTCCCATAAATTCGTAAATAAAATATCCCGATCAATCACGTCGAAAGCCTTAGAATAGATCACTGTTTTTACATTAAATTAGATAATTAAAATCTATGTATGACATCTACTAAAATGTACCACACAGGTCTATTCTGGTAGAAGCATGAGGTGAAGATATGTGTGCTTACTTACAATATACTATCTTCTCTTACACATAATGAATGAATGCCTCAACGGCAAACTATAACTAATGTTAATAGTGAAGAAGAAATAATCTACAATGTCTGATGAAAGATGAAAAATACAACAAATATATTGAATGAAAATTCCATGAGTTGAGTATCAATAAAATAATTCAATGTCTCATATGTGTGCGTCCTTCGAGACTTTGGGTCACAATAATATGATGGGGAAAACATGAGGTGTAACGAGATCAGTATGGCCAAACAGATGTCACTTGTTCACACAGTCTCGGATAAATGCACATGTACAAAGCCATTGGCTCGACTGTCTATGGATGTTATATTGTCTATGCTGCCTTGGAGCCCCTTTGCCAATACGTGACTTATGAATATGTGGGATTACACCACCACCAGCTACAGTAGCTTTGATTAAGGAGTCCAATTCTTCATCACCACGGATGGTCAACTGTAAATGACGGGGAGTGATTCTCTTAACCTTCAGATCTTTACTGGCAGTACCTGCCAACTATATCAATATCATCAGAGGTGATATTGTTAGAATAAATACGGAAAGGTATTTTTGCTTGGAAATGGATTAATAAGTGACTTTTACATTGATATTGGTTATTTTGACATACTGTCTTTAATTCTAAAATACACACATAATATGAAAACAATCTCTTACATATTCATGGCACTTGCAGAAGATACCCCAAAGTGCCTCAGGTAAAGTTATCAAAGGCTTATCTATTGCTGAGAAATTTCTTGTCAAATTGCTTCTCATTTTTTGATAAAAACGCTAAAGTTCTCATTGCGTTGCTCTGGTATGGGATATTATGACATGCTATCTTGAATTTCTTAGTACTCACATAATATTTACTTGATCTTTAATATTTTCACACCTTGCTATTGATGCTCTTGCGCTACTTTATACAAATTTTCAGTGGATTTGGTTTATCAGTTGCCGAGATATATGTTTTCAAAATGTGGCTCATTTTTTGTAGATGTATTGTATTTCCCTCAGGTATACCCTGTATGAAAAACCTCCAATTAAATAACCTCTATTAATATGGTGTTTTTGTATGGTGTCTTTTTGTATGAAATGGATACATTTATCTGTTTATTCAATTGCAAGGGCTTCCAAAAACAAATATCTCAATATAATTCTAAACAGCATGCTTTCATTATATCGGTAATTGGATGATAATGTCAGAGTGTTCTTATTTATGGCTATTGTCAAATATAATGAACGGGAGAGTTTTTGCAACTTCTACATAATACGTTTATAAGAGATTATATACAATTGCAAGTCCTCCGATAGTATTTTGAATGTCAAACTGTCTTGTCGAAATTGTGTTACTCCCCATCCGTTGTCCACTAATATTCCAAATGTTTGCATCTCTAAACCTCTCGAGAATGCCGCATTAGATTAAGCATTCACTCGACATAATGAATCCAGTACAAATTAGGCGTTTCTGATACCTTTTAGGATGATCAATATATATAGGCGTAAAAGAGATAATTTAATTTGACAAAGTGGATCACGGGGTACCATCGAATAATTTTGGCAACGTACCGGAGAACGACATTTTACTAAGAAATGGCAATAATTTAGCACAATATATTTTTTAACTAGAGTTCTATTTTGATTTTGACAAAAGTGAGTATTCCATGCAATAACTATTTCATTCATGAGTTTGTAGGAATTCTGTTGGGACCCAGTTCTGATCAGGTAAGTTATTGAAATCGGCGCAGACGGACTTTACTCCGAAAGATGGTTTTTCGATTATAACTTTTCACAACATTTAAGTATAGACTTTTGAAAAAAGTACAGAATAGTCCTTATACTTTTGAATAATTCTGTTATTTCTGATTCACACGACTCTGATTTGTTTAATTAAAAAAAAAATTTAAAAATATTACTTAGGAACGTAACCGGAGCTGGGAACGTAACCGGAGCAGATCAGTTGAATTATTTAATCAAAAAATTAAAATATATGAAAACCAGTTTTGAAGAACGCAGTGGCAACTTGTTTGGTGTGATAGCTATATTTTTGCTAACTCGTTCATAAGCAGTGTTAAATACGTTCTTAATCAGTTTAAACCCGTTTGCAATCAGTTCCTCCTCGTTCTCAACACGTCCTCAGACAGTTCGTTGTTAAAACGTCCTGAGGATTGAAGTACGACGGTTCCGTTCGTAGTACGTCCAGCTCGTCGTTAATACGTTGTCACTCGTTCTAATTGTAGAACGTGACGACCACGAGAACATTTTTAGCATTGTCTAAGTTCTAGAGGACCTACCCGTTCGAGTACGTTCGATGAAGTTTGTAAATAGATCCCAAACGGTTCTTAGTAGGTCCAGTCCGTTCGTATACAGTTGAAGCCCGTTTTCGAGAACGGAGTGAGAACTAGTTTGGTGTGATAGTAGGGTTAATGAGAGTACGCCATGGCATTTTATGCGTATATGACGCTACGCCATTGAAACGTCCTGTCCAAAATGTTAAAAAAATATGATGCTCGCTCATAAACAGTCTTCAATACACGAACCTAGCCACTAAAAAGTGAGTAGATCTTTATGAGAAACTACTGTTAACGTCTAGAAATTGCAATTGTGATTTCAAGTCTTCCAAAACTCCGTATATTGTTTTGAACGTATTTGCACGGAATAACACTAAGTTGCATGTTAAGGACGTCCTGTGGTAGAGTTAGATTTATCTGCGAACACGATGAACGAGCTACAGCGTGATACAGCAAAAGATACAGTAAAAAGTTGAAACAAAATCTATTCCGTTCAAATACAGTTTGAGGCATCCTTGGTCATGTTCCCGGTCATGTTGGTCCAAGCCTATATCACTTCTTTCTGAATTTAAGCATTAATAAAGTCTTTTGAAGAAGGACGAGTTTAAGGGTTTAAGAAAGAATTTGGGTCGAAGTACAGAAGATGGAGGACCTTCCTGTCACAGTTTTAGCACGTTTTATTTCAAGAACGTAGTGACAAATAGTTAGGTGTGACAGAGGGGTGACATTTTAATAAGTTTCCGTTGCATGCTAAAAATATATATTCCTATATTTTATAATCGATTGTGTATTTGATGTATTTAAAAATAGCAGAAACGTTGCTCACAGAGGCGATTGATGAGGATAGGAAAATAACGTACCTGAACTCCCTCTAGAAAAGACGAGTAAACCGAGTATAATCCAACGATGACGCAAAATAGTCATTTTAGAAACCATTTCAGTTTTTCATTAACTGATAAAGGCAAATTGAAAATGTTCTCCTACATTACTTGGAGTCAAGTGTACAAGTCTGTTCCGCTAATAACTGATCCAACTTCATTATTCTATTGACGACGGATATTGCTGGATTATATAGAGAACACGCCTCAGTACAATTCCGTAATGCATTAACTTCCTCCAATCCTCTACCAGCACAGTAGAACAAATTAATTCTTATTTGCCGATCAACACATTTGATAAAGTAAATATGCTTTATATCTCCTTTTAGATTGCTTAATTGAGGCTCTAGATAACAAGTAAAATACACTATTCTTGTAGGTATTCTCGCAGGTCAGATCAACTTATGAGAAAGCAGAAAACACTGGGCGGATCATTCCATAATGATGTAGCTCGGGGGGAGGGGTGGGTAATTTAAAAAGTAACTATGTTGACAGACATTGCGTCTATTATAGGTTTATCCTCTGGGATTCAATCTTACTTACTTTCTTACAATCATAGAGGTACTATTAGTGTGGCCCATTCCAAACTTTAAAGCTCATTAGACGTTTTACGTTACTACCTATGCAAAGTAGGGTCAAAAGATTGCCGGTTCCAATACACCATTGGAAAGGTGAGAGTGTTAGCTTGAGGGACCTGGCCTGATCTCGGATGTTTGGTAGTTACAAAGTTGAAAAATTAACCCTTTCATCACCAAGGGTTAAAATTAAGAAATATATCATAATTTTTCGAATCAAAGTATTTTATCATTGATTTTATATTTTCAATGTATTTGTTCATAATAACATATCTAGTGTCCCAAGAGACATGCTAGTGTGTAATTAAGATGTTTGACCTCAATGGCAATATTAGTATTTTGTCTTTATAGTTATCACTGAAAAATATGTGAAAATAATGCCAACTTTATTTTTAACATCATATTTTTCATTCATTTTTCGTTTAAAAAGGAGAATACACTTCAATAGTATAAATACTATATTGTCTATATGCTTCTCTACTTAGTTCATATGAGGGCGGGAGAGAGGTTGTATATGAAAATGTATGTTTTACTGAATGCCTTTCTGACCTGTTACTCCTGAGAAACTGTTCATTCAAATCACCCCATATTTCATATAATGTATGCCTGTGATAGAACTTGACATAAAAATATACTTTATGAGAAAATAGGCATAGAAATAGACGTCAAAGGTCAAGTTTTGACTTTAATGAATTCTCTTATAACCTGATATGTAATCGTACATTTATCCAAAGGTTTGGACATTTCATCGAAAAGTGTCGAGATAATGATCTAATAAGATTATGGAGCTCTGGTGATCTGGTGATAACGGAGTTGTTTAATTAACTCTTTCATCTCCCAGGGGTCATTTTTTGAGAAAAATTAAAACTAAAATCCAAACACTAATGAGAAAAAAATTACTTGTAACATAAGGAAATATTAATACTACTTGTATGCCCAAACTGCCAAAGGTCGTGTTGTTATCATGACCTTGACTTTATTTCTTAGAATCTTGCAGTTTGTTCAGCCGAACCAATTCTAATATAAATGTTTCTTTTTCATAATTTCATTTTGTCGCAGTACTTTATATGATTACCAAACCAATTGTATTAAAATTGCAAATAACAATATGTAACATTCAATGTCAAAGGTCATTATTTCATGTTTTCAATTTGTTATCTATTATTTCTCATATTACTTCATATTTTACTTTAAAATCTAAATTCTCTGACTCGTGGCTGATGGATCATCAGACATCGAATCCAAGTAAAAAATAAGACGTTAACATAGCTTCAGCAACGTTCATTGAAAGTCTGAATACCCAAAGTGCGTAGATTGATTTTTTTCAAATTCAGATGGATGGAACAATGATATAGGATTCATACTCCATTCCTCTTCCCCTTTGATTGAAAATATGGATGTTCATTAACAAAGCTGACACATGTTTAATCAATGGTTAAATGTTTTCTCAATATGTTATATTATACTCCACACTGGATTCGACCTAGACATATATATATAATAAAGGTCATAGTCAAGTTTGTCAGGATAATCTCAATAATAGAACGATGGAAATGTTACCTAACTACATAGGAGATATGGTAAAACATAAAAACTCACCTGTTAACCTTTATTGTCTTTCTATAAAAGAAAACTGCAACTCCATGGAGTAGAAAATCCCAATGAACAAAATGTTCATGAATCTATACTGTATACTTGTCACAATATGATACTTACCATCATCTACTGTACCCTTACTTGCAGATAATTAAAGATAGACCTTCGAACTATGATACAGGATTCTTCCTAAATAAAGAATCCTATATATATTTCTATATTTCGAGTCGGCGATACTATTACTAAGCCATTCCGATTCCATCATTCACAAGGGTATCCTTGTATGCGACTCTGCCATCTGTATGCTTCTTCATTTCATCTTCAAGTTTCATCAGTGTCAAGATTTAGGGACAAAAATTTATGTCATTTTTAAGTAAAGCTTTTTTTCTTTACAATGACGAGTTGAGAAATTTAAAAACACCCCACTTACTGAACTTTTAAACTTTTAAGGCATGTATTTTCAAAAAGCTTTACATTGGCGATATTCCATTACATTCTTGGACTTAGATTATTTTACGATTGAAAGTTGTGAACTTTTAATGCAGGCATTTTCAAAAAGCTTTACATTGGCCATATTCCTTTACATTCTTGGACTTAGAATATTTTATGATATATAGAAGTGTAATTTATGGCATGCATTTTCAAAAAGCTTTACATTGGCCATTTTCCCTTACATTCTTAGACTTAGAATATTTTACGATCTGGAGAGGTGAACTTTTACAGCATGCATTTTCAAAAAGCTTTACATTGGCCATATTCCTTTACATTCTTGGACTTAGAATATTTCACGAAGCAAAGTTGTGAACTTTTTATGCAGGCATTTTCAAAAAGCTTTACAATGGCCATTTTCCTTTACATTCTTGGACTTAAGATTATTTTACGATCTATAGAAATGAAATTTTATGGCATGCATTTTCAAAAAGCTTTACATTGGTCATTTTCCTTTACATTCTTGGACTTAGATTATTTTGTCATATATAGAAGTGAATTTTATGGCATGCATTTTCAAAAAGCTTTACATTGGCCATATTCCTTTACATTCTTGGACTTAGAATATTTTACAATCTAACGAGGTGAAATTTTACAGAATGCATTTTCAAAAAGCTTTACATTGGCCATATTCCTTTACATTCTTGGACTTAGATTATTTTACGATCTTATGAGGTGAAATTTTATGGCATGCATTTTCAAAAAGCTTAACATTGGCCATTTTCCTTTACATTCTTGGACTTAGAATATTTTACGATATATACTTGATAACTTTTAAGGCATGTATTTTCAAAAAGCTTTACATTGGCCATATTCCTTTACATTCTTGGACTTAGAATATTTCACGAAGCAAAATTGTGAACTTTTTATGCAGGCGTTTTCAAAAAGCTTTACATTGGCGAAATTCCATTACATTCATGAACTTAGATTATTTTGTGATTGAAAGTTGTGAATTTTTATAGCATGCATTTTCAAAAAGCTTTACATTGGCCATATTCCTTTACATTCTTGGACTTAGATTATTTTACGATCTATAGAAGTGAAATTTTACAGCATGCATTTCAAAAAGCTTTACATTGGCCATTTTCCTTTACATTCTTGGACTTAGATTATTTTACAATCTATAGAAGTAAAATTTATGGCATGCATTTTCAAAAAGCTTTACATTGGCCATTTTCCTTTACATTCTTGGACTTACATTATTTTATGATATATAGAAGGGATATATACTATATATATATATACTTGCTAACTTTTAAGGCATGTATTTTCAAAAAGCTTTACATTGGCCATATTCCTTTACATTCTTTGACTTAGAATATTTCACGAAACAAAGTTGTGAACTTTTTATGCAGGCGTTTTTAAAAAGCTTTACATTGGCAAAATTTCATTACATTCTTGGACTTAGATTATTTTACGATGTAAAGTAGATAACTTTTAATTCAGGCATTTTCAAAAAGCTTTACAATGGCCATTTTCCTTTACATTCTTGGACTTAGAATAATTTACAATCTATAGAAGTGAAATTTTATGGCATCCATTTTCAAAAAGCTTTACATTGGCCATATTCCATTACATTTTTGGACTTAGATTATTTCAAGATTTAAAGTTGTAAACTATTATGTTATGTATTTTCAAAAAGGTTTACATTGGCCAAATTCCTTTACATTCCTGGACTTAGCTCATTTTACGATTTAAGTTGTGAACTCTCATAGAATGCTGTACATGACGCTTTACTGTCCCCTTTCCTTTAGCCTGTTATTTTGACTTTTAGATTTGGTATTTGTTGGATTCTGTTCTTTCACGACGTACAGTACATGTAGAATTGTAAAAACCATATGTCATTGGAGAGAATACAGTAAAGATCGCTAAATATAGAAATGAACTTGCATAGACAATAGTATTGATAGTGATTGAAGAAATCCCCAAGAGAGCCCCTCGAGTAGACGGGATTGTTTTCCCCGATCATTTTCAATACTTTCACAAGAGATGGTTGGAAATCGATCTAAAGTTATGCCTTATATTTCTAATTTGATGATAGAGTATGATTCCAGGTGGGAAAGTCGTGTAAAAGGCGAGAAATGTTAAAAGAAATGAGAAAGTTTGACGGGCTTTTGACATGCGCAGAACTCATGCGCAGAAGCTCTTTTGGTAAAATGGTGATCAAATTTCTAACTTTGAAACATTTCCTTCATTTTATGGACTATTTTGCGATAACATTAGAAATACATGGTGTTGAAAGCACCCAATGATAGATATTAATCGGGAGGATGTACCGGTCAATACTAATATCGAAGGTAGAATACATATATGGAATTTGACGCGCCGACCTCAGAGAAAACACTTCCGGTTTTATAACCAAATACTATCGATCAGAATATCTTATTGTAATGTAATTTCGCCAGACATCTGCTAATATGATATGTGAATATTTGTTGATTTGATTGTTAATTACAAATTACTCAGAAGTACACGTAGGTACATGTAAGGTGAAGAACAAGTCAAGGTTTACATCGTAAAATAATCCGAGTCCAAGAATGTAAAGTTCACAACTTTCAATTCACTTCTATACATGTAG